ATTTAAAATATCATTAATAATTCATAAACCTTGTGGCAAATCATGTCAGCCATAATATGTCACGTGGAGTGACTTTATATCTGATAAAACACATGTGGCATTATATAATTGTTCATCTTAATTAGCATGATTATACTATGGTTCATCCTAATTAGTATTCTTTTGTAGTCGTATTTTAAGCTATTCAAAACATTCGTTGTCGTGTTTTATCAGATATATAACGCTCGGCTGCGCCTCGCGTTATATATCTGATAAAACACTCCTACTCGTGTTTTAAATACTACATAGACAAGTATCGGGGTTTGGAATCATATATGAGTAGAGTGCTCAATACCGTAGTAGAGCTGATAAGATTAGAAGACAAAAGTTCAGAAATAAAGTTCATATGAAGTAGTTCAAGTTTCTTCTAATCTTATATATATATATATATATATATATATATATATATATATATATATATATATATATATATATATATATATATATATATATATATATAGGTTGAAAGTTCACGGTTGTACACAAAATATGCTTGTAGGCCGAATGATATTAAGAGCATCCCATTCCTTGTGGAAAAGGTAACAGTTTATAGACCTTTAGTTTTGTTGTATGTGGAATTTCTTTGTAATTTAAATGACAGAGTCATTATAAAGTCGCTGTTTTACATGTTCTGTGGTCTATTTCAGTATGAATTTACGCCATTATTATTAACAATTGTTATTATTATATTTGCTGTGTTGGTGTATATATAGTGTACTCAGGTGAATAAGATGCTTGCGATGTTACTCTGAGTGTGTATCCACACCGGGCAGGCTTGAAAAATATACCTGGCCACTGTGGCACAAACAGTTTCAAAAGGATTCCAGGAACAATTGGCACAAGTGCACAGAATTTTCGTCTAGATTAATAAAAGTAATACGTTTTCGTCTAGAAAAAAATTAATAAAATTTGACGGCTTATGTTGTAACATCTACATGGTAAATTTCCGGAAGCAAATTTGAATATCGAGGTTCCAATTCTGCCTCGTACCCAGGCGCTATGTTTCCGCTGTGGAATGCGTCGCTGCTGCGCCTTTGCGTGGGGATTAATTTGATCGATTTCGTGGTGAAGCTTCCCGCCGAATTTTCACTTCTTTCCCCAACCTCGTACCCAGGCTCTTTCCACTACGCGAGGCGCGTAGAGGAAAGAGCCTGGGTACGAGGTTGTTCTTTCCCCCCCGTAATGATTTATTTTAACCACGTCGGCTCCTCAAAGTTAAAACAGCTTCTTTTGTTATTTCTAGGCTGTTCGTACCAGTATTTATGGTCGTCCAGGTGTGTCTTATATCGACATTCCAGGTGATATGGTGCTTGGAACAACAGATAACATCAGGTTTGTTGTACTTGTGGTCCAATCACAAAGCTAGGTTTGTACCACGTGACATGAGCATGAAATATATCACCGAATCACCCCCTACGTCGTTGTGATTGATGCAGCGAATGATTTTGATCATAACACCCGGGTAATAGGGATTCGCGATAACCACGCGAGAGCACACGCAAGCTTGACTCAGTGAAGGAAAGCGGGAACTGAGAGTGCAGAAGAGTGAAAAATGTTTACTTCAAGCAGATCTAGATGATGAACTAAGAATTTCGCTGAACTCCCCGAACAGAGGATCTTTTAATGATAATCGCTAAATTGATTAGATTAATAGAATTCAGGTTACGGTGGTTACCCAGAGGTGGTTAAAATGTTTTCTAGTTATTGTGCAGAAATATAGAATTGGTTCAGAATTTTCGATCTTTATTGTAGTGTAACTCCGGCTAGTTTGCCACCTCCAAAAGCCTTGGCTGAACCAAGTGCTATCCAGCAAGCTTTAAACGTCTTGAAAGAAGCAAAACGACCGTTAGTTATCATAGGAAAAGGTGTGTAGATTTATGACTTGTATAGTACCAGAAAATTGAGATGGATAGGGATTCAACTATATACCCTAAGTAAAATACATTAAGTAAAACTTCAATGTTTCGAGCGAAGGCCCTAAGTTAGTTGTAGTATATCGCAATTACAACACCTTAAGAAACTGAATAAAGAATTTATCTGTACAGTTTAGTTGTGATTGGGTCAAAAGTTAATGCTGTATAAAAACGTGTACCACTTCATCGCCTTTGAAATAAATAAAGTGAAATGCGAAAACTTCATATTCCATAGTATTAAGTCTTTACTCTTGCTAACATTAATTTTCCAAGGTGCTGGATATGGTCGTGCTGAGAAGGAAATATGTAAGTTTGTAGAGAAATTTGGAATGCCATTTCTACCTACACCCATGGGGAAAGGCGTAATTTCAGATCAACATCCACTATATGGTGGATGTTGATCTGAAATTACGCCTTTCCCCATGGGTGTAGGTAGAAATGGCATTCCAAATTTCTCTACAAACTTACATACAGCACGACCATATCCAGCACCTTGGAAAATTAATGTTAGCAAGAGTAAAGACTTAATACTATGGAATATGAAGTTTTCGCATTTCACTTTATTTATTTCAAAGGCGATGAAGTGGTACACGTTTTTATATTTTATATGTGTAGCGGCTGCAAGTTCAAGGTGAGATTTTGTTCAGTCTTTTCATTCGTTCAGTCTTCTCATCATTCCTTTAATCCTTTCGTAATACAGTAGTCAACAGTAGTCCAATCTACTGTATGAAGATCATGCGCAGTAGAGCACACTTTTATCAGCTTGGCCATATAGAGTCTCTTTATCATGATTGAGACTTTGGCTGATCTTATTAAAATAAAGCATATACTGTATGCCAGTTGTAACAAGATACAAAAGATGTAAAGCCAAAATCTTAAGAAACGAAAATGAAGCAGGCTACAAAGTACAATACTTTCTGGAAGAGTGTCCTATTAACTTGGAAGGAAATGTTAGTAAATTTTCTGTTTTCTAGAGCTTTGCTAAAAGCTGATGTGATATTATTACTTGGAGCGAGATTGAATTGGATTCTTCATTTTGGTCTTCCACCAAGATTTAATCCTCAAGTCAAACTTATTCAGGTTGGATAAATTTTTGGGTCCTGAGTGTGCTGCGATAGTTTGACTCACACCCATCAATTGTGATCCATGTAAGATCTTTCATTTTCGCCTATTCCCAAAATATCACGAATATGCAATGATGATGAACACGTGCAAACAAATGTAACGAACAAGAAACATGTGTTTTATCTTTCTCGCCGCCCCCTGATATAAAACATATTTTTGTTTTTCTTGGGCAATTCTCGCTTGCGTAAAGCATAGATGGAAATGTATGCAAACAGTTTTTTTCAAGGGGTATAATACACAGTAATGATAATAGAGAGGTTCAGATTTGACTTCCACTTCCTCTACCGCTAAGGGACAATTATGCAATCAGGTGCGTGTGATCTACCGGATTAACCATTCAAGTTCACACAGAGTAAGTGAGCAGTAGCGGTTGTGGAAGTCAAATCTGAACCTCTCTAATATACCAATACAACCTTTTGATAATTACATCACAGATCTCTACTTGGCCGAGGAGCCTCAATTTCATGAATCGTCAGCGAATTGCCTTTCGTCTTGATTCTTGAGAGCAAGGCGCCGAGACCAAGGAAGTAATCATGACGTAATCATGACGTAATTATCGAAATGGATATTATATCGTTAGGTTGATATATCTCCAGAGGAACTTGGTAACAATGTCAAGCCGACAGTTGCTTTGTTTGGTGATTTATCTTCAGTAATGAAACAGGTAAGTTGTATATTCATCAGTTTCATGGACTCTATAAAGAGGAGGTTACGATGAACGATACACTTGAGGGATTACAGAGTCAACTACCTGAAAATTAATTAAGTAAGAACTTAAATAAGTCAATCAAAATTTAATCTTGCCTCTTAACTACTTTTCTACCACTCTTGTAGTTAATACACGATTTTGATTGGTTAACTTTTGCACTAACTGTAGCTAACTTTAACTATACCTTTGTTTACAGCCCGCCCCCGGACTTCCTGGTGAAATTAATCTATGTAAGGTGGATCACAGGGTGGATAAATAACCAGAGGCCCATTATTTATCACGTTTTTCAGAATTTCAAAGTTTTTTTTATTTTGTTTCGTCATAGATTCAGTCATTTACAGTATCAAACAAACTGAAATGTCCGTTAAATAATGGTTATTTAGGTGATGAGCCATAGCAAGCCTGAGATGTCTATATATAATCATTATAATGGTAATTGCACTGAGTGGAGTGCAATTTGGTCTGAAATCAAACGCGTAGTTACACAGTATTTAACAGTTTAAGCTGTACTTTATTTTGTGTTTACATGCAAAAAAAAATAGCCAAGATGGCAATATTCTGATTTGTTTATTTCGTTCAATTCGCCAGATCACATTTTTCTTAAAATTGACTGGCTAGGTGAATTCTACACTTTCCTTTGATTGGCTAGCTAAGGTCACCACTTTAATATGATTGGTTTAAAAATGATGCGATTACAATTACTCATGCTGATGCGAGCAAAGCTCAAAATAGTGCGATTACAGCTCTAAAATACTGCGATTTGGGCTGTAATGCACTATTTTTAGCCAATCAGATTGTTCGAATCGCGCATGATTTCAAAATGAATATGATAAATGTTATTAATCTATGTAGGTTAGATGCGGGTACATTTGGCACAATGGGAGTTGGTTTAGGTTTTGCAATAGCTGCGGCAATCTTGGTGAAATACAAAGATGAAAAATTAGATCCTCCAGCAAGTCGTGTGGTTTGTATTCAAGGTGATAGTGCTTTTGGTTTCTCTGGAATGGAACTGGAGACTGTGTTCAGGTTGGTTTTACTCCTTCTTGCTAGTACCTTCTAGCTTGTTATTACGCCTCTGTCAGTCTGTTACTACAAATCACACCCTACCAATCTAATCATCAAACTAACTGGGACACCGTATATTTACATGTAACCTAGCCACAAAAATAGTCTTGCCACCATATTTACCTGGACTAAAAAAACAGCTTATTTTAAGAAAATTGTTTTGAAATAATAACATTTTTCTTCGAAGAATATTTTTTCTTGTTATTCTCCCAATAAAATTCAATATCTTTTTTCTTGAAATAAGAAAATTATTTTTTGCTGCAAGTTACAGTGTACCTGGCCACAATGCTTACCAATCCTTACAGTTTTATCAGAAGACTCATGAGTACAGTCTTTACTTTATATCAAACCACGGATATAAGACCTAACGTGTAGGTTACATGCACAGTCAAAACACTCCTCAAACTAATATTGTCTATCTAAAAAATTAAATATTAAAAAAAAATAATGAAAGCGTTTTGGAATCCGTGTTAATTAAGGTGTTTCGATCCATTTCAACTCACAACATGTGATTTGTTTGATCCGAAATTTCATCTACTGTGGTCTGTGGTTATCCAGTCAATTACAGTAACAAGGTTGTTACTCCTACTAAAGGCCCGTTAACACGGGCGATTTTTGCTGCGATTTTAGTTGCGATTTTCTCCTTTTGGAGGATATGAAGGAGTAGATTACTTAATGACGTTGTTATGAAATTTCATAACATGGAACATTTATAACTCATCCACTCCTTCACATCCATCATCAGAAGAAAATCGCAGCAAAAATTGCCCGTGTAAACGGGCCTTAAAGTTTAGTAAACAAAATTTCATCTATTGTGGTTATCCAGTCAATCACAACTCCTATACTAATGTTTAGTAAACAGTATGTAACGCTTACAGCCGAACAGCTGTGGGTGAAACATTAGTAACATTGGATGAAGTAGAGGAGAGGGCAAATGAAGAGTTAATGAATGTTCGAAAATGGCTGTCTGCGAATAAACTTAGTTTAAATATTACGAAAATTGAGTACGTTCTGATTGGATCACGGCATATTTAAAGATAAATAATACGGATGCCCAACCTATAGAGTTAAAATCGATAGCCAGTCAATCAAGAGTGAAACATGTGCTTGGAGTTCAGATTGGCGAGAATTTAAATTGGGGAAATTGAATTCATTGTTAGTAAAATATCGTCAGGTATTGGAGCTATAAGAAAACTAAAGGAATTTTTTGATCGAAACACTTTGGTATTGGTATATAATTCTTCAATTCAGCCTCATTTTGATTATTGTTGCGAATTTGGGATGCACTTGGCAAAAGCCTTAGTGAACGTCTTCAAAAACTACAAAATAGAGCGGCTAGACTGACCGGTCAGTCTATTTTGGCCTGTAATGCTCTTGGTTGGATATCGCTTGACGAACGTAGGGCGTAAATGAAAGCCAGGATCATGTACAAAACTGTCAGTCAACAAATGATTACAATTTAAGGGGTTCTTCGACTAGGCTTTTTATTCCCAGGCCTAGGACGGAATTCCTAAAAAAAAGAAGTTCCAGTTACAGTGGGGCCGCTCAAATATGGAATCAGATACCGGAAGAGATAAGAACTTCGGTATCTTATTATTCGTTTTTGTATTGTTAGCACACCTCTTTTGGAAATCAGCTGTGTGTTGAAAAGATTAGTGTGTTGAAAATAAAGTTGATCATCATCTATACGTTCACTTTTCTTCAGGCACAAATTACCAATAGTCTTCATTATTTTAAACAACAACGGAATTTATAATGGCGTGGATGAAGAAAGTTGGAAAGATCTGACAAGTTCGTCTGAAGGAGCGGCAACGAGGTTTGTAAACTGGTTGACAATATTGATAAACTTGAACTTGTTTCTCACTTTCATGAGCCTTTTTTTAATTCGAGTTACCAGGTAAAGAATGGCCCTTTTATTTTGAAAAATATATTTTGGAACGCTGTTAGTTTTCTACTAATTAATGTCGATTTCTTGTCTAAGTAAGGCTCATAGGAGGTAGGACCTCAGAGTCTCGTTAGTAATTAATTGAATTTTACTCTATCAAGTTATCCATAAAATGTCACCAGCAGTGACATTATGCATATAGCTGAACATCACTCTTCATTATAGCATGTAAAGATTTTGAAATTTACAGGGAATGAAAATCCGAATGAAAATGTTTTACCTCATTTAGCGCTCCTCCGACAGCTCTACTGCCGTCGGCACGATATGAGAAGATCATTGAAGCATTTGGCGGTAGTGGGTACTTTGTGAAAACACCACAAGAATTAAACTTCGCTCTCAAGAATGCATTTGAAAAAACGAATGAAGCATCACTCATAAATGTTATGATAGATCCTTTCTCTCAAAGAAAGCAACAGGTACCGTTATTGAAGCCTGTTTTTCACTTCAACCGAAACATAGCGTATTTCGTTGTTTACTTAGCACTTGAGGCTGAGCAGAATTAATGATAACGACACGAAAGAAAACATTACGATGTACGTTATACCATATGGTTGAAGTGGAAAACAGGCATACATAATAGACAACTTGCATGTTAGACTAATTTTTGATTTAGGCAAAAAAAAGTAAATTCCCGTAAAGAACTTATTAAAATCAGTAAAATTGCAAAATTTGGTTGCGAAATGTTGTAAAATAGCCGAAAACGGTAACAATTTCAGCACGTAATACAAATATACTGAAAATATGCAAACTTCGCAAGGCTATATTCTCTGTAATTTACAACATTTCGCAACCAAATTTTGCAAATTTACTAATTTCATTATGTTCTTTTTAACTGTTGTGTTTGATTCCCTTCTCTTTACTTAGATTAAAATTTAGTCTAACATGCAAGTTGTCCATTGCAGTATAATCTCGTTCTAACAAGCTTGATCGTTGTTAGGGGTGAAACTATACTTGAAAAGTACAAGGAGAAATTTGACGTGTTGAGCGAAGACCCTTCGTTGGGACGTTAGTAGCTTCTGACTCCCTGACGAGGGGCCTCCTCTCGAAACGTCGAATTTCTCCTTGTGTTTTTCAAGATCATCAAGATCAGATCAAGATCAATTTATTTTAGCCAATAAAAAAAAATGTTTACAATATCAAAGAGAAAAAAAATATAACATTTTGTAAGGCAAGGAAACCAAAAGAAACCATAAGGGCTTATGTAATTTGGGCCACCTAGATTAAACTACAGTAATACATATATAGCAAAATTTTAGTGTTAGCTGTAAAAACATATCGAGCAAGATACAATGTGTAAATCAAACAAACAAACGAACAAACAAAATTTGGATGAAAAGGAAAAATAGACCAAAAAATTGGGATCAGGTTTTTGACAAAGCATAGATAGAAACTATGTTACATTGATTGTGTGTTTAAATAATACAAAATTAAAGTCTAAATAAATATTCTTTAAGTTTTTTCCGAAAACTGGAGACGGATGAAGCATCATATATATTTTTGGGGAGGGAGTTAAAAAATTTAGGACCTTGGTAAATAATAGCAAATTTTCTCAGGTTAGTTCTACAAAATGGGAGGAAATACAAATTCGATTGTCGCGTATTATAATTGTGAACTTGGTTAACACATGTGAAATACTCATCAAAATTAGACGGTAACATACAATTATGGAACTGATACATAAACAAGCCTAAATGAAACAAATAAATGTTGTTAAATGGAAGAATCTCAAGCTCGTTAAAAATGGGATATGTGTGTGCATCATATGAGGTTTTATAAACAATTCTGATCATTCGCTTTTGCAAAAGAGCAATACGATTTAAGTTTGAAGGGTAAGTTGAACCCCAAACTAGGATACAATATTGCATGTATGGGTAAACGAGAGCGTAGTACAATGATATTAAAGATCGTGTCGGAAGACAAAAACTAGCTTTCTTGATAATTCCAATGGATTTCGACATTTTTCTTGATACATGGGATATATGAGACTTCCACGTTAAATTTGCGTCTAAAATAACTCCAAGAAAACTAACTTCATCAACCATATCAATCTCAAAGCTATTTAAGACTATTTTAGGATTGATATGAAACTTTTTTTGTCTTGGTCTAAAAATCATAAAATTGGTTTTCTTCAAATTAATTGATAGTTTATTTGCTGATAGCCACACGGTCAGCGTGTCCAGTTCTCCATTTACTTGATCAATAAGGAACGGCAAATTGTTATGCGAGAAAAACAGGTTTGTGTCATCAGCGAATAAGATAAGGTCAGCAATGTTGGAGACCTTATTAATGTCATTAATATAAAGCAAAAAGAGAAGTGGAGCTAGTATTGAACCTTGGGGTACACCACAATAAATAGAGTTTTTTTTCGAGTACACCACATTGAACTGAACAAATTGGAGTCTATTACTAAAGTAACTTTTAAACCAATCAAGTGCTACTCCACGAATTCCATAATGCTGTAGTTTATCAAACAAGATACTATGGTTAACGAAGATGCCAATTGTAAATTCATTGAGGTCAATAGCGGATGAAATTTTATTGTATAGTTGCAACAAGGCTAAAGAAGTTGAATGACCGCTTCGAAAACCAAACTGATTGTCAACGAGAATATGGAGCCTGTCCAAGTAGTTAATTAAACGAATAGAAACAATTTTTTCAAAGACTTTCGAGAAAATTGGCAGGATTGATATTGGTCGGTAATTTGAAAATATTTGTCGATCACCAGTTTTAAAAATTGGAACAATTCGAGCGATTTTCAGTTGATCAGGAAAAAAGCCGGATGACATCGACAAGTTGACAAGGTGAGGTTAAAGGAATGGATATTAAGTCTATGCAGTCTTTAATAGTGTTGATAGGTAAATTATCATATCCAGTGGCAACACCATTTCTGAAAGATTTGACTACGGCAGTTATCTCTTGTTCTGTAGTCGGCTCGAAGAACATAGTATTTGTGAAATTACCAGTGAGAAAAGAAGTGTGCGAGACCGGTACAATAGGTAACTTTTTGGATAAATTGGGGCCTATATTGGAGAAATAATCACAAAAATGATCAGCAATTGTGGGAGAGTCAGAGCAGTCGTTATCATTGATTACAAATGTGGATGGAAGCCTGCTATTCCGTCGTTTGTTTTTGTTGATTATTTCATTCAAGATGCTCCAGATGTTTTTACAGTTAGACTTATTATGCTCGATTAGATCCTCGTAGTAATGGCGTTTCGCGATGCGTAATAAATGATTTAATTTGTTCTTAAATCTTTTGTATCTATCCGTGTTGTCAGCAGTTGGAGAGTTTAAATAACGCTTCTGGTTCTTTTTTCTTATTGATTTTAAAAGGCCGTTGGAAAGCCAAGGTTTGAAAACTGTTGACCTTTTATTTTTTATCTTTTTGAGTGAAAAACAGGAATTGTAAAGATTAGTAAAAATATTCAAGAAACTGGAGTAGGCCTTTTTTGGCTCATGAATATTTTCGAGATCATACCAATTAATGTCGTGCAAACGATTGCGAAATTCGTTTATATTTTTTTCGCTTTTGTCACGAAAAACGGTATATGAAGCTTCATCAGTCAGTGGTTCGTTATCATTGGAAATAAGGTAGTTGCATCCCTATCAACGATCAAAAGCTTGTTATTATTGGCAATACCTGCACTGGCACAGACAGCTCAAGATTAATCTCGTTCTAGTTTAATATGTATTTCCGCAAAGGTAATATTTGTATCTCTTTCTAGGAATTTGCTTGGTTAACGCGATCAAATTTGTGAATTCTGGTACAGTTTACCTTAATGAACTGTAAGTACTGTAGTATTTTGATGAAATGGTCAGAACCTAAAATGCCACTAACCCCAAATATAATTTTTTGTGTAATATTTTTGCCATTTTGAGAAGAAATGCATGTAATGTATCATAGTACTGCCTCGTACCCAGGGATATGTACTATTTAGGGAAGGTACATGAAGTATTCAGGCAGCCAGGTGCGCAAAGGGGCTATTAGGAAGGGTGTAATACTTCATGTAAATTCGTCATACAAATCAAACGCTGTTTTTATAAAGAGACGCCTGGGTACGAGGCAGGTTATATATAGAAAAAAGATCATCTTGATAACTTTTTCACTCAAAGTCGGATATGTAATGTCATTGAAAAGTAGTTTTCATTTGTTTTTTCTGCTAAAATTCACCTAATGACATCGTATCCGAAAATTTCGACAGTGAAAACGTTGATCAAGGTGACCTTTTTACTATAAAGTAGAATTCTTTTTCCAAAAATCAAGGGTTAGTGACTGTAATTAAGAATTTTACTGGGCCCTTTCGAATACAAACATCGTCAAGCTGGATGATCTAAATATAACGTTACTCACTCACCTCACCATGTAGTCGTAGAATTATAATAGAGAGCTTGAGCTAGAGAAAGAATTACGACGACGAAGACGTACTCGACCGCAGTCGTCGTGAACTCTTTTCCCCAGGAAATACATATATGATGTATACGCACAATTAATGGCGATTAAATCTATCTTCAACAGTTAAAGGTTTAAAATTGAATGTATACTTGTTTAGTTGTTTTGTAAGGGGGCCGGTTGTCAAGCACGATTAGCGCTAACCCTGGTTTAAATTTAACCCATTGCTTTGGTTAATGTTTATCAGTACGTCACTCTGTTTATTTCAAAACTTTAGAAATTAAAGTGGAAGTCAAGTCCGTTCTGCGCATCGGTTCTGCTCATAACAATGTGAGGACCCTCAAATGTAAACATTGCCTAAATTTCGAATGTTTCGAATTTTTCTGAACATAAACTCTATTTCATATTCATTTAGAAGCATAGCGAACCAAATGGTGTTAGATATTCAGACAGTACATCATATTTTTAAATATACAGCAGTTCAAAATGTAAACAAACCGTTTGTTTACATGCGGACTTGACTTCCACTTTAAACTTCTGATGATCTACAAGACTCTGCAAAAATATTTCCAAGTTTATAAACAAGCTGCTGGGAAGTATGCTTTGAATTTCACGTTAACCCAGGGTTGAGCTAACCCGCTTTCGAACGACCGGCTCTTGAGAGTTAAGATTTTAGAAGTTTAGTTTTAACACGGTTTATAGTGGTTTGAACCACCCCACTTTTCCAAGCACTACACCTAATTTCTTAACACTCCTGACACTCTCCTCCGATAGAGCCTTACAATTTGTACTGACTAGTACGTGGGAGACAAATTACGTAATTGTTAGTCAATATCCACTGAATGTCCTCTACTATCCCTACGTTACCATTACAATTCTTTACTATCCCTATGTGTCCTATGTTACCACTACAACATATTTGAATTTTAGATTCTGCGAAGGAGAGTGTTCTCCCATGTTTGCTTAATTAGTTAATTTGACATAAAGATATATCGACACTTTACTATTATACTTAGACACGACAGTTAACGACTAAATAGAAATAAAAATAATTAAAAAATTTAACCTGAAGGTTAAACAATAGTTTATATTTATCACGCTCGCCAGAATATTGTCATGACATTGAAAGTTCCATACTGCTCGTAAGCTTTCATGTGTTGTGTTTCCCTAAACCAAAAACAAGTTGTATTTATCGTCATGCAAACATGCAAACAAAGTATATGCAAATGATAACTGAGTCATGTGTATAAATACGACATTAGACTAGTATTATAAGAGTATTAGCCGTGTTGTTTAATTTATCAGGTATTCGGTATAATAGATCACTCTAATATAATTCTGGTAAAAAAATGCTTGGCACATTTTCCAAAATTACACATAATGATCTCATGAATGTGTCATAAGTATATAAAGCCCCAGTCAAACAAGGATGAGAGTTGGCAGTTGCGCATTCTTATATGGGGGACACGTCAAGCTCTAGATTAACAAAATAAAGGTTTGATGAGCGTTCCAACGATGTTTTAAACTTAACTAGAATACATGATAGCGTTGGGAAAACATTAAGAACAGCGTCGCGTGACTCGCATGCACTCTCAACCCGGTTTGATCCGGGCTTATATATGTGTCATTGACCGTTGGAGTGTTTTGTAGATGGAAATTATCGAGTGGAAATTCTATATACATTGATTAGACGTGACCAGGAACAGCTGCGAAAAATGCAACTATATATATATATATATATATAGGTCCCTGGCAGGAATCGAACCTGCGGGTATATGTGTCATTGAATTACCCGTCCCCCTCATGGGGGAGATGAGGTAACGTATATACGGAAAGCCACGTTTCTGGCCTTTCTTTCACGATAGGGAAAGCTTTTGATCAGGATTATAGTTTGAGATACTCAGAGGTGTATACAAAATAACAGTAACTCCGAATAACATTTTGATTTTTAATCGACGTTTCGACTTGTTTTCAGTCATCCTCAGGATTAAGATAATCAAATAATGATTAATAATAATAATTAATAATAATAATAATAATTAATAATTAATAATAATCAGATAATTAATCAGATAATAATTAATGTTATTCGGAGTTACTGTTATTTTGTATTTTCTTAAAATACCTAGTGGTTCCCGTAATCAGAGGTGTATGATCGGCGGATGCTGAGGAAAATGCATCTTCCCGGATGATCTATCAAGTAATCTTGTACGGCAGTGGTAAAAACTTTGGATTGATAGGGATGCAACTACTTCAAAAATACAAATGTTCATGTAATTTTTCACATAGTCATAGTGCAGGCGGTCACAAGAGAATTAAATTTACCAGCAGAGCTTCAGTAATAATGAGCAGCCATGCAACACTACAACAGTACAAGATGGTAGTACAAGTATGAAATTCCTCCCCGCCCGCATTTTCGCGCGCCCTTTATAACTCCCAAGAAAATCCCTTTCAGAGGCAGAATATAATCAGTGTGTTTGTCTGGTGTGTTTGTTTAGATTGCAAATCTCTATCTTTATTTTTTCCTCAAGCTACCAACATAAACGATAAACCGGTTATCGGTAAAAACGCGTCTACGCTGTTAAGACCTCCTGACCTCCATAATATTGGATTGTGGTGAAAAAACGAAAATTTAATGCTCTGATTATCAGTTTCAACAAGTTAGTGTTTCAATGCAAAAAATCTCTCATGACGTCATGTCCAATTTAATTATACGTGTGACCGCCTGGTATACAGGGTGTATAAAAAAAAGGAGACCTTTAGAAATCAAGCATATTGTTAAAATTTGAATGCCTTTTCAATTGCACATATATGCTGAACCGTGGTGCGTGAAATATTGATGGGGTGCATATATTAGAAAAAGGAGACCTTTAGAAATTGAAATAACGTTTAAACAAAAGATTGTCTGCTCCTGGGAACAATCTGCCATGCATACTGTACGTAGATCGCATATGCACTCCATAATATTTCACGCACCACGGTTCAGCATATGTGCAATTGAAAAGGCATTCAAATTTTAACAATATACTTGATTTCGAAAGGTCTCCTTTTTTTTATACACCCTGTATATATAGAGTGTAGAAATCCGGGTTACAAGGCTTTCCTTTTGCGTTTCCTGAACACTATCTTGAGCAGTAATCTAGTAAAATTTCTACACCCGCATAACTAAACAAACAATGACTTGAGTATTCTGGTCTGTGCCTGCGTCTACTACTAAAAAGCGATACAACGATACTGGAATCTGGAACCGTGCATAATTTATGCAAATTATCGCACTTTTAAGTGGTTAAAAAATCACCTAAACAGTAGGAGACATTTGGTTTGGCGATAAAATGTTTCAGGGGGAATTTTTTAGATATTAATCTGAGAAATAAATACCTTAAAAACGCAAAAATAAAAAGCGAATTGACCAAATGATTATCAATATCTGCAGTGGTTAGCCCATTGCAATTTACATCTTGTCTTACTTAAATGTTTAATTATATGACTGTTATCAAATGCAGCGTATACTCAACCTCTGTGGTAATCATAAACAATAGAATTCTTACTCTCAGACAAAAGCGACTATAAATTGTATTCACTTGAACATTCTAGTACGCCGTAGTTGTTCAAATCGCTACGTTATTTACATAATTTTCACGGCTGATGACGACGCTAATAGGTATAGGATAATGCCCAAGCTCGAGGTATT